TATATATATATATATATATATATGGTATTAACCTTAACATTTTCCTTTTACTCTCTTCAATAATATGATTTGAAATCTCCTGAAATCACCAAGTATATAAATAACATTTTCTAATTAAAATGAATTATTGAATCAGCTAAATAATTCACAACCTAGTGCTTATACAAGGATAAAATGAATTAATATATTACCAAGCTTTCAAAAATATCCTAAACTGGTACCTTTATACAAATCAGCATTATCCATCAAAAATTATATATGACAATTAATTTCAAAAATGCCTCTGCCTCCGTACAGAGTGTTTTCACCAAGATAAAGATTTCCTTTCTATTTATCCTTTATCTTTTCTGTGTGCAGGTATCTCATTCCCACCTTATTTTGTCAAGAGAGCAGGATTTATAAATAAGTCAGTTTTCCATAGTGGATTTGATTTATATATTGGCATTCCAACCTCTGCACAATTGCTTCTCTGTGGTCAATATGTATTATTTTTGTGTCTAGCATACTGGACTCTGAGAGTAATGACATGTCAGTAAGGTTTTTTTACAGCTTAAAAAATATCTAAAATTAGTTTTGTTAATTCTTGAGGCCATGTGAATTCAAAATAAGAAGCAATCCTAACTTCCACCATTATATTGCTCCAAATTTATATATTGACAATATAAATTGAGAAAACTTTCAAATTTTCTCAACCGTTACTAAGGCATTTTTCTATTTTTGTCACTGACAAAACCTCAAAAAATATTTCTCTTAAAACAATGTGTTTTTTCCTAGTATTATTTTTCATACTGTTTATTCTTAATTTTTCTTCAGATTGCTGGAAACTACTAGTATTTATTTTTATGCTTCACTAATTTGGATGTAAAACAAATTAATCAAGTTTGCCAAGAGATCCTCTGTTGTCAGGAAGGAGAAGTATAATATACGCACATCTTTGTCTGGATAATTAATGAAAATAATGATTAATCATCTGGATTTAATCAAAAGCTGTTACGATGTCTACTAAAAATAGAAAATAAAAAATATTTTCCCAAAGAGAATAAGATTTTTTTACTGGTAAATAGATAAAGTAAACATATTAAAAAGAACATCATTACCAAAAATATGATGTTATTTTTGCCTTCATAAGAAAAGGAAATTAGAGGGATGAAAAAATTATATATGTATATTTTAAATACCGTTAGTTGAGGAATAGAGTAGCTACAGGGGAGACAATTTTTAGATTGGTCAAATTCACTAAATAATGATTTCATTGATCTCCATCTCATTGTACATCCCCAGACTTTAAGGGTTAAAGTAGTAGAGAGGTAATAGCTTCTCTGATTTGGTATTGCTACAGTGTGAAAACATGCTATTTTTAGGCTTTGTGTTTTTTTCCCAATATTTCCCTGGTTAATATCCTTCAGAAGGCAGATGTTACTGATGAATTGGTCTACGTAAATTTGCAGGCTTCCCGGGAACCTCCTTGCTGTGTTCCCAGGGGAGGGGCTGGCTATTCCTAGAGCTCCAATTCTTGGATCTGTTATTCTTTAGTCATTAAGAATAATGCTAGTTGGGTTGTGCCATTCATGGGTAGAAGTTAAACTTAATTTATACATAAAATGTCCTTTTGGAGTTACAGTTGCTCTATTTGCAAATGGTGAGTGAAGCCTACACATTGAATGTGCTGAGAGAAACTTGGGAAATAAGAGAGCCATATCATAAATGTACACAGTAATAGCAACTTAGACCAGAGACGTAACAATATTTGTGATATTTAACTCATAAGTATTCATACCAAGGGCAGTCAGCAGTAATGTTTGTAATCCCAAACTTGTCTTGAACATTGTACTGCATTCGTATTCAAATTTGTGCCCTGTAATATGGTGACTATAAGCCCCCTCCCCACATAGGAGAAATGCCATTCTGGGAGTGACTATTCCTTATCTCTGTAAGGTTGCTGTCCAATGGGATTATGTTTTCTTTGGAGACCAAGAGAGATTTCATTTGGGTCTGAGTGATTTTCTTTTAATTTAGCTTTGGTAGGAAGAATCAAAAAACTTGCTTATTTTGAGCTCCTGTCTTCTTTGAGCACCTCTATTCATTGTCCAGACATGTGCTTTCAAATTTTAGCAGACCTAAGAATCACCCAGAGAGCTTGTTAAAACACAGATTCCTAAGCCAAACCCCCAGAGCTTCTGATTCGGTAGGTCCAATATGGACCTACCATATTGAATTATCATTCAATTATTCATTTTAATTAGAAAATGCTATTTATATACTTGGTGATTTCAGGAGATTTCAAATCATATTATTGAAGAGAGTAAAAGGAAAATGTTAAGGTTAATACCAAATATATATATGTATATATATATATACATATATATATATATACCACAAACTATACCACCAATGTATAATATCACATATGTATAAAATATAAAAAATTATAGGTTTATGTGATAATTTTTCAAACTGCCTTAAATCATGAAAGCCAGCTAACAAATCTAGCATATAAGGTATAATATCCTTTGAGTAAATAGATATGTAAAATGTTTTCCAAACAGCAGGTGGCAATCTTTGTAAATTTGATTGCAGCAACACCATTTTAACTCTATATATGCAGATGAAAGAGTTTTAAAAGACCAGTTATGAACCTTGGTATGCTCACACTAGTTTACATAACTTCAAATATTAATCATGACTACTGTCCTAATGAAACTTCTTCCTGATTATATACATGTTTTTGTTTAAACGCTTCTTACTTCTGATGCACGACAGGAGGAATTTCATAGTACTTCTCTTGTATAGGTCTCCTCAACAAAATCCTACTTGCTGGTTCCTTCTTATTGCTCTGAATTATGTGGCCTTAAGAATTAACAAAGCTAATTTTAGATCTTTTCTAAGCTCTAAAAAAATCCTACTGACATATTGTTACTCTTAGAGTCCAGTTTCTATTGATATTAGTGTTAGACTGTGAGAAGTCTTTAGAATTCTGGCTATGGAGAAATACAAAGTTTTGACTCAGGATTATCTCTTAAAATGCCTTGTTTTGTTGTTAGTGTTGTTGTTGTCGTCTTCTAAATTGATGTAGTCATGTTTGGTAGAGACAGAAATCTACTGCTTTCTGAACTGAAAAGGAACCTCAAATAGCTGTTCTCTCCATACCTACTGGAACCAGAGAGCCAAAGAGATAAGCTAGCTTGCCCACCAACCATTAGTAGCAGCAAATGGACTCTAATAGGGTCTTCAAATTCTTTAAGTTCAGCACTTCCTTTATACCCAGCTGTGAAACTTAGAAATTTCATCCTATCATTTTTCTAGCATGCTTATAGCAACTTTGCCTATGATATCATTCTAAAATCCTAATTTTCATTTATTTATTGAGTTTTCAGTATGTCAATAATACTTTATGGAATGTATGCACAATTTGGAAGGAATCTTTGTCATAAACGATTTTTTTAAAATATATGATCAATAATCTGGGCAATTTTTGACCTTTCCTTTTTTTCTATGCTTATATGTAAGATCCTTTACCGTAACAACATTTCCATTCTTTCACTACTAATTAAGACCTTATGTTTTCATTTCAAAATGTGTTCCTCATAATAGAAAATGGCCCAGGAGCAAGGGAATGGGGATGTCCAAAGTCCTACATGGAGACAGACTAACAGCAGAATTTAAAAGTTTCTTAATGTCAACAGCATCTCTTTATTTTCTCACTTAGCTATCTAACACTTACGTCTTTCTATTTCTACCATAAGTAATAAAAGGCAACTGTTTTTGTGTTCTCAGTAAACAAATATTTCATGAACATAGTGAAAAAAAAGTACCCCCAGCCAATTTAAATCCTATCTAGCCATGTTATTGTTCAATGTGGCTTCCTTTGTATTATCACATTTTTCAATGTGATTTTGCAGCAAATACCTTAAAAAACCCATGGAAGAAATAGTCTAGGACACATAAACAGAGGAAACCCCATACATTATGGAAAAAGTAAATTGCCACTTATCATTAGCAGTCCTCCAATGGAGGAAGTACTGCCCTTCATGATGAGAGTTTTAATCCTTTTTTTTTTTTTTTTCCAGGTAACAAAATGTTTCCATTGAGATCATCTCAGTTCGTTCTCACCAGGACATCGCTGCTCACTGCATCTTCTAACTTCTTCGCCTGTGCCTTCACATTGCTGGCCTGTTATTGCTGCACCCTGACATGTCCTCATTCGCCGTTCCCAGCCGCCATCACAGGACTTGGAACATCCGCTCCAATGACCCCACTGATTCCACTGACCATTGGCTGAAAGAAACGTGTCATGGTCAATGGCAGTAGCCCTACTGCAACTGTTTTAAGAAGTTTAAAATCTGAGGACCATTACTGTTTGCTCAATTTTTATTAATCTACCACTATGAATAAACCCTATTCAAACATTTGACTTGCTAGTCAAATATAGAACATTGTGATTAACCTAAGTTTATGTAAGTTTGTCAGAATCTTCAAATAGACACTGAAACTTACTTGTAAAAAGTACAAGTTCAGTGCTAAACCTTATCAACTTAATCTATATTTGATCTAAGCATCTCCAGAATTGTGTTGCTTTATTAGTGTGACATACAGTAGAATGAGCTCTGGTACAATTGGCTTCATTTACGAGAAACACGTAATTACCTGATTATTCCATGACTGGCATGGTTCTATCACATTGTATAAATGGCAGGCATTCTTTAAATGTAGTCATCAGGCCTCACCTGTGCACTCAGGGTTATAGCACTCCCTGCTTTCCGCCCACGGCCCTCTGCATTCAGAGCCCCCATGAGCCGCTGCAGTGCATTGCCTGCTTCTCTGCTGGGTCCCATTCGAGCACGTCACTGAGCACTGACTCCACGAACTCCACTCTTGCCACTGTCCATCAACTGCCAAAGCAGAAAGAGAGACAGTGTAAGGAGATGTTCCAATAGAGAAGGCTGTACAGAAAGTACAACGTAAAACTAACCCTGGAGGTGAGTCCCAACCAAGGGACTCTAAGTGAAGACAGTGGAAAGTCATATTGGCATTAAATGTTTTTATTACCCCCCCAAACTACTATTACCTTATTTTCTCACTTCTATTTCCTTTTATGTATCCAGTGTCTCTCTCTTTTTTTTTTTTTTGAAGATTTTATTTATTTATTTGACAGAGAGACACAGCGAGAGAGGGAACACAAACAGGGGGAGTGGGAGAGGAAGAAGCAGGCTTCCCACGGAGCAGGGAGCCCGATGCAGGGCTTGATCCCAGGACCCCGAGATCATGACCTGAGCTGAAGGCAGACGCTTAACAACTGAGCCACCCAGGTGCCCCTCCAGTATCTCTTTTGAGCCACTTATTGCTTCAAAATATTTATTAATTACTCAACAATGCAAGACCTTGGGCTAGGTGAGGAGTACACAGAGCAGTGAATGAAATAAATAACTGATCAATAACTCATAGAGCTCACGTTTTAAAGAAGGAACCCCTATAATGAATTAAGCAGTTAATTACATGTTAAATAAATTAATTACATAGTATTGCTTCAAAGGATAATTTCAAGACACTAAGAGCTTGGAGGGCCTGGGGAGTCTTCCTTGACAAAGTGAAGTTTCAGACAAGCCTTGCAGAATAATGAGGAATAATGTGATAGATGTTATAAGAAATACAGAAATTAAAAGAATATGAATCCCACCCTCAAAAATCTTGTAATTTAGGAGAAGAATTACATCATGCACACAAATAAGTAAATAAAAGGTTAAAAGCAGTAACATCCTAATATGGCACATGAAGGCTTTCAGAGGATGGATCACAACTACTTAGGGTGATTATGTTAGATTAATATGGTGAGATTTGGATAATTTAGACAAAGGAGACAGCATTCACAAAGGCATAATCCCATAGGCCACAAAATGCAAGTATGCAAAGGAATCGGGCAAAAATATTTACTCAATTTAGAATGCATAAACTAGAATATAAGTGTTATAAATGCACTCATATATGACTGTCTACTTTTTCTCATATCATTCCATGGTTCTTAGTTTCATTACAGTAAAAGAGAATTCACCATAAATCCAAAGTTCCAACATAAGATAATACTGCTGTGAAAACCTATCCACCCATCTAAAGAAATGAAAAAGCTTGGCAGAATATGTGTAAGTGCTGTCAACCTAATTTCAGGCCTTGCAGGTAGCTATTTAAAAAGAAGATTGTTTTTTTTTTTTGTTTTTTTTTTTTAAAAAGAAGATTGTTTAATAGGTATCTGGCTGTACTTAATAAACCCTTTGTGAGATTAAAAATCACAAAATGCCAATTTAATCATTCCATTCATGTAATTTTAGCATTTCACTTTATTAAAAGTACCTGCTACAATCTTATTGGCTATGTAGTCCATTCGCTAGACAAACAAGAAAAGACTAGTGAATAAATGGAATGCTATAAATTATCCATTTCTTCTCTAGCTTGGCTTTGAAGATGAGTGCATTTTTCATTTCAGAACTTTGCCTTTCAAAGATAATACTTACTGAGCTTGCATTATGAACTCTCACTATCCTAGACATTCTTAGAAGAATTAAAAAAAATAAGATTCATGCCTGCACCTTACCATCTATTGTCAAAAGAATGTACAGATATTCAAATTTTTGAAAACATTCAGAAAGCAACACATAAACAAAGATGAATTAGGTGATTTCAACCTGATTCAATGCTAAGTGACTAGAATAAAGGAATATGTGATGTCCTTGAGAATTCTGGTTTGAGGTAAACTTGTAGATTTTTTTTTTTAATTTTTTAAATGAATGTAACAGTTACAGACTCACTGGCAAAGAAGAGAGGATAAGTCTTTCCAGCTAAGATGTGGAGAGTCAGGAATGAGCAAGTCAAATGTGGAAATCAGAGAGAAGATAATTTGGCAGGGTGTTGTATTATCGGTGAGGAATAAGAAAAGACCTTGCTGAAAAGAGATTAGGAAAAATGAGAATATTTGTGAAGTGTTTTGCTCCATAGGCTTTTCCTGAAAGAAGACTTTGCATCACCATTAGTAAAATAAATAAATAAATAAAAATAACATTTTAAATTCATACATTTGTAGTATTAGTTGTTCAGTCCTTTCTGCTAAGGTATACATTTTATGATTTGATTAAAGTTCAAGATTGAGTTAACATTAGACATTTCAGGGACCTTTTGAGGTTCATCATTACCATAAACATCAACAAAACATGTATTTTAGATATATACAGTTTATAAAGTTAGTTACAGAAAAGATATAGCAATGAAATTGAAGACATATCAAGTGGATGTTTTTGGTATTCTATTTTACACTGAGAACTACAAGTTCCTTTTATTAAACATTAACTGCACCATTATGAAAGACTTGATTTGACGAAGTAACTGAGGAAAAAGAGGAAAACCCAATATTCCTTCAGAGTGATAAGTCAAAGTTACTGGGAAAATGGAAAATTGAGAAGTTAGAACCAGGCAGATATGTCAATTTAATTTAAAGCATTAGACAACACAAAGAATGTCTTTTAGTGCTAAATGTGGGACATTGTTTTATTTCTTTTTTTTTTTTTTTGGTTTAATATCCTAGAATTAAAAAAAAAAATCACTAATTGTGTTATTTTTAGGGACATCAGCCCCAAGACCTTTCAAGAATGGTAATGTTATTTTACTGAATTGGGAAAAAGTGGAGGATTTTTGAGAAGTGGAAATTAAGAGTTCTGTCTTAGACATTTAAGCATTTCCAAGAAGGACATATGCATTATATTTCAGGTATAAATGTTGAGATGTTTAAAAATAAAAACCATTCATCATATGATCTATTTAATATATATTTTTAAAACCATTTATCTAAGTACTACAAGAAATGAAGGGACTCCTTTTTTGTTTGTTTTTACCTGATGTTTAACTGGGAATCCTTCAACCCTTGCATTTCCACTTGCTTGAGGATGGAGACAACAGAGAAAATCAACCCTCTCCCTACCATCCACCCACCCCTGTATATCACAGACTTTCAGCATTGTAAGAGATATACCCCAGAATCATTGCAAACTCCAAAATTTGAAAATACTTCAAAGCTTTCTTTCTAAACCTGTGTTCCTATTGAAAGATCATTAACATCTTGTCATTTGGTCAGAAAAGTCTTACCAATAATTTGGGAAAATGGAAACACTCCAAACCTCTTCTTGGAGTCTTCTAATGAACTCACTGGTAAAGATGTACAAAGAAGCTACACTGGGACTCTACTAGACTCTGGGAAACTGTGGTGATAAAGGCCCACCAAGCTCTCTTCTCATGGAACATGTACTCTGAGGGGGTTGTGGAGACAGATGATAAACAAGTAAATAAATGAATGAACAAGAGAGTTTCAGCCAGAAGTGTGATAAGGACAATGTGAGGAAAGAGAACAATGTGACAGGGGATGCTCAGCCATGCCTCTCAGAAAAAAACACATTAGAGCGGAGTCCTGAGTCACTAACAGGAGCCAGAAATGTGACGATCTGCGAAAACCTCTACACAAGAGCCAAGTCCTGAGGTCAAGAAAGTTTTGTGTATTCCAGAGAAGAGAAAAGGCTGGGGCTTGTGGGGATCACAAGAAGGGGGGTGGGGAGTGGCAGGAGATGGGTTCAATAGTGTGCAGAAGCCAAATCCACAGGGCCCTGTAGCCTGTGTGACCAAGTAAGATCAGAAGCTATGAGAGGATTTCAAAGTAGGGACGTGATGTGACAGAATTTCTACTTTAACACTTAATTTTGCAGTTGTGATTAGAATGTATTGTACAGGAGCAAGGATCAGTACTGTAAGATGTTAGGGGACTATATGGTAGCCCAGACAGAGGTGATAGTGGCTTAGATTACGGTATCATCCGTCGAGATAGAGAGAAGGCGATGAATTTGTGATATTTTCTAGACGTAGAGCTGACAGGTTGGTAGTGGGATATAGAAAATCAGAGAATCAAGGATGACTTCTAGATTTCTGGCTTACTAAAAGGGTCAATGGTGGACCCTTTTACTGAACTGGGTTAGACTAGGATTCAAACAGGTCAGGGGGTATATAGCCCTGAAATCAAACTGTCTATTTTGAACATGTTGAATTTATGATGCCATTATAATCAAAATGCAGGGAGTCCTACATTAAATTAGCTTTGTTTGACACTGTGCCTCCCAAATGTATTTGAAATGTAATCATCCCTCCTTTCTTTTCCCTTTTTTCAACCCCCTTTTTGGAGCGCTGTTTGGTAAATATTGCATTAAAGTACATAACTTCTTCTATAATATGCAGCTAGGTTAAGATTTAACAGGTTCTTAGACTTTTTCAATTTCTCTTCATTTCCATCATAAGCATTTGCAGTTGGATTTTTTTATAGTGTCATTTTTCAATTTAGAAACTCCAAATGCCTATTACTTTATGAACCATCTTACAAAGGTGACTAAGAATAAAGAATAATAAGGCTGCGTTTTGAAGCCAGGACAATGCTGAGAGATCAGCCTGTCTTACCATCATGCAGTGTGTTTCCTTATACCAGTGTCACCCTGCAGACAGTTAAAGTTTCCCTTCAGCAATGTGACACATTACTAGATTTTCTGGATCCAGAATAATTAAAATTGTGAAGGCCAAATTGCTAGATTCCTGGGGTTTACTTTGTTACATGAACTTCCTCCTGCCATATATAGGGAGTTACAATTGTGTTCACCTGTCTGCCATGTACAGAGGCCAAATTAAATTCTGTGATACATTTTAATGAAAATATCATGTTTCAGTCAATTTTCACATCTTTACCAATAACTAGTGACAGTATAGACTAGGTTGGAGAACAACAACCACAAGATAAAGCCATGAATATTTTGGATAATAAAACGATCATTTTGGCAACTCTTCTGGGTTGGTTATTGCTGATTGATGAAGCTATCTA